CACAGTCTCTCGGGTATTGCCTGTTGTGTCTTCCAATGCGTCTATTCGTGAAAACTCCACGGTTTTTGGACTTTGGTCTTCCACGTGGGGCATCGGTGTGGATTCCGTTGTCCTCTTCTCCACTTCATCTACGCTCTGGTCTGGTGTCTCTAGGTCGATTTCGATTGTGGGCTCCACCTGTTTTTCCCCCACATCTTCTCGTGTCTTGCTCTCGGTGCCACTTCTCGTACTGACCATGTTAACTGAAAAGTTCTTCTTTGTTATCTTTGGGCCTGTTGATGTCGTTCCGCGCAGCGATGAATTATATTTCGTGTTTGATCCACTTGAACTTTTTTCGAGCACCGGTACCCTACTCCGCCTCATTATTTCTATTCACAACTGCTTTTATTTACAATTTTATTATATACACGATTCTATTCTAAGAATAAAAAAAAATAAAAAAACAAAAAAAAAAAAAGTTTTTGTGGTAACAAATTTTGTACAACGTGTTAAAAACCTTGTTGTAGCTCTCTTTCTAAAACCTTTGAAAAATTTCCCTTAATGTGGTCTCAACCGTACCTATTTCGATTTGTCTTATTTTGTCTTAAGACACACTTGTTGTAATTTTACTTCAATTTTTATACCGTCCCAAGACTATTCGTCACTATCACAGTACTCTCCGCTAGTGTCCTAAGACCCTTGTACCAAGGCCACTGTTCCAAGACTACTGTCCCAAGACTAGTGTCCCAAGACTACTGGCCCAAGACTAGTGTCCCAAGGCTAGTGTCTCAAGACTACTGTCCCAAGACTACTGTCCCAAGACTAGTGTCCCAAGACTACTGTCCCAAGACTAGTGTCCCAAGGGTAGTGTCCCAAGACCAGTGTCCCAAGGCTGGTGTCCCAAGACTACTGTCCCAAGGCTAGTGTCCCAAGACTACTGTCCCAAGACCAGTGTCCCAAGACCAGTGTCCCAAGGCTAGTGTCCCAAGACTAGTGTCCCAAGACCCTTGTCCCAAGACCACTGTCCCAAGGCTAGTGTCCCAAGACTAGTGTCCCAAGACCCTTGTCCCAAGACCACTGTCCCAAGACCACTGTCCCAAGACCCTGTCCCAAGACCACTGTCCCAAGACCCTGTCCCAAGACCACTGTCCCAAGACCCCTGTCCCAAGACCCTGTCCCAAGACCACTGTCCCAAGACCCTGTCCCAAGACCCTGTCCCAAGACCCTTGTCCCAAGACCACTGTCCCAAGACCCTGTCCCAAGACCACTGTCCCAAGACGCTGTCCCAAGACCACTGTCCCAAGACCCTGTCCCAAGACCACTGTCCCAAGACTGCTCTGTCCCAAGACTTCTTCGGTACTGTCCCAAGACTCGTCACGGAGTGTCTTCCTCGTTGTAGGGTCTTCTTGAATCGCCGTACCTTGTACCACCACTCAAGCTCTAGTAAAATTTTCCCAAAAACCCTCTCTTAAAAGCCAAATGCTGACCCCCCTCTTCTTTTTGGTTGTTTCTATTTCAATGTAGGTGCGCAGGTATCTTGTGATCACCTGTTCGTATAAAACCAAACACAAATCCTCACTAAAATGCAACAAAAATCTAAGTAAGAAAAATAATAAAAACAGAAAAATGAGCCCACCTGAAATTCAAAGGTGACCAATGTCTACCTTTCGTCTAAAAAAAATGTCTGGTACCTAATTGCCACGCGTTTTCCTCCCCCCACTAGTGATCTTATGGGGTATCACAAAAGCTGTCTATATCCGGTCCCCCCTACCAAACCAACCAGCGTACCAGTCTTAACTCGAGTTGAATTTTGGATATTCACCTATTATCACCAACGCGTGTTATGGCTAATGTAACTAAGTCAACGATGTCGATTAATTAGTTACTCTAGTTTCTCCCCTTTTTACAATTTGCAACCGCTCACCTCTAGCCTAACCAGTCCCCCTTCTAACCTCCCCCCTTTCTAGCCCCCCTTCTTAAGCCTAAAAATTACTTTAAGCGCCGGGTGCTAAACCTCTCAAGAGAAAACCGTAGACCTGTTTCCAGGCCTGCTCAAGTAAAAACGTTCCTCAAAACTGGGGGATTTCGCTTATCCAATTTTACACTTATCTCCTATAATGTAATGTGGATTCTAACGATACCCGTTCTGCCCAACTTGAGAACTCGAGAACTGTCAAATCCTTCTTGGCTGCTTTCCCACCCGACTGGTCACCTGTTCCAGTCCAGTCTCCTATTGGTTCAGCTCAAGTGTTCCTGAACCAGTTTCCCACTCGGCCGGTCACCTCTTCCAGTCGAGTCTCCTATTGGTTCAGCTCAGGTACTCCTGAACAACCCTCCCACTCGGCTGGTCACCTCTTCCAGTCAAGTTTCCTTGTTGTCCAGCTAAGTTCCAAACTATCTGAAAACCCTTGACAACGCCCCACACTCGGGCACTTTATTACGGTTACTGGGTTAAATTGCTAGGTTGATCGAAACGATCGAACTTATAAAACAGTATGGGTATACTATTTAATTAATATAAAGGTTTGATCCAACTGATCTGGTGTCAAAGTCACTGTCTTTTTTCGTTTTATGGCTTTTGTTCCTTTTTCTATTCTTTTTTGGTTTTTTTGTTTTGCTTTTTGTCTTTTTGCTCGTGTTTTTGTCCCCCTAGTTGCCCCCCTTTACTCGGTTAGCTAAGCCTCGTTCGGAGAGCGTACCAGGAAATTTTCTCGAGTTTTCTTAAAAAGCTATCACGGTACAACCGGAAGGTTTGCACGTTCCTGTCGAACCGTACCGCCGGTACTCTAGAATGGGCATTCAGCCCGAAGCTGTCTCAAGTGGGTTCGACTCCGTAGTCTTGATGTCGTAAACACCCAGGAGCGCCATAAAAACACTATGTAACATTCGTCTACTGCAGTCACACATGAGGCTTAAGAAAAATAGGCCCTATAACCACTGGCTCAAGGGTCAGGGACACCATCTCTTGTGTTTTTCTACCTCAAGAACGGTCGGAGCCAGTTCGGTTCGCTTGTGACATGAGACTACGACCCGTTACAGCTTAAAGGCTACTACTAAAATATCCCCCCACTCTAGAATTAGAAACGTCCCCATACTTAGGTCTCTAGATACCCAAAATACATGAACGCCGTTAAAAACCGGGTTGGAACAATCCGTTAAGTTGCTTTTTTTATTAGACAGTGGAACTTTGATCCATTTCAGATGGATCAACCTAAAACTCGCCTTACCTCAACATAACAATTATAAAACACACTCTAGGAATTTAAATTTGTACTCACATAGTAGCACGCTCAAGAAGTGGGAAATAATCCAGTCGGTAATTAACTCAAGAATTAAATAACGTAACTAAATGAGTCTAATGTTTTATAGTTTTAACAATGAGAACGAGTTTATACTTTAGACAATAGTTTTCTTGTGAACCATTAGGACACTCAAGCTGTCCACCTTTCCACCGAAGGTTCACTCTAGTCCAGTTCCGAATAATACTCCAGTCGCTATAATCCAATTCGGGGGAATGCTCTCGTCTCTGTCACAGATGGGACAGCTCTACTCTCGATTATTATAGTGACGGAAATTGCGAATAGCAATTTCCTACTGCTTTTTCTTACAACTTTCCCGCGTGTGCGACTCAATTGTTCTGAAATTGTTCTAACTTCTTTTTTTGATTTTCAGTTCTCGCGAGAAAATCGTGCATGACAGGTTCCATTCGAAATTTTGAAAAATTAAATTTCACTCCAAAATCAAGTGTTTTTTTGCTCCTCTCAAGGTCAAACTTCCAAATATGACCGACTGGCACACTGACTGGTAACTGGAAGGACATTGTTTGATAATGACTTCAGATCCTGTAATTCTGCTTAATAATCTAATTACAGTGCTGAGATAACTATCTTTTTCTGCAAATAATTTCCTTTTTTCTGCTGTATAACTTTCTTCTGCAAATATAAGTTTTTCTCCTTTCCCAAATTTATTTTGTTCGCTCGTCTGATTCGATCAAGCAATGACTACCTGTTTTTCTTCTGATAAAAATTTTCTGCTAGAAATAACTTTTTTCTGCAAAAAAAATTTCTTTTTCTGTCGAATAATTTTTCTGCAAAACAGTTTTCTTTTCTGTGAAAAAGCTATAATTTCTTTTTCTACTAAATTGTTTTTCTGTAACTGTCTTTTTCTTTTTCCAAATTCGGTTTTTCAATACAGATTTTCGAATAAAGCGTGTATGGAATTTTCCAAATTTTAGGGTTCGATAATATAATGCACGGATGTTTTGTTTTTATTCGAATAAATTTTCTAGTTCAGACTAATCTCTATCTAAACGACTGTATTTTTGTTTTCAGAGAATGTCCATTTAGTGTTTGAAGGTCAAAAAGATCAAAGGCGAAAATAATGAAAGAGCAAAAAAAGCCGACTGATTTCTAGCTGTTTTGTTACGTGTCTGATTTCTAGCTGTTTTGTTACGTGTAACAAGGGTTTTAGTCACATGTCGCAAGTGAACTGAATTCGCTCCGACCGCTTGAGGTAGAAAAACACGAGAGATAGTGTCCCTGACTCTTGAGCCAATGGTTATAGGGCATATTTTTCTTTAACCTCATATGTGACTTAAGTAGATGACTGTTACAACAGGTTGCGAACCCTGCCTCTGTTCTCGGCTCTATTAATGATTAAACTACCTTCGAAGAAATTTTTTGTTTATAGAGCCAAATAAAAAAGGCGCAGCTTTATATAAGTATATGATAGACCCATAGCCGCATATCAGGACAATATTTTTGGGTCACTTTAAGCTCCGGTTTTTTCCGTGCAGGTGTTAGTTTTCTCCATCTGGTTGGCTTCATTCCCAACCATCTGACTCTCTTTTCTTCTATTCACATTATACTTTACTCTTCCATATCTATAAAATTCCGATAATTTTGACTGGATATTGTAATGAACGGATTCCTTTCTGTTGTAACCTCGGTTACCTTGATACTTTCGACCTTCTGCTTATTTTAAATCATGTAACATTCTTAGCCTCTGACTCAATTTCAGTTTACTGAATGCCAAATATCTTACGATTCTATGAAGCAGCTCCAGGCTCAGAGGACTGCCTTCTTACTCATCGAGATCTACAACAATGTCTTCTGATCAAAGGAACCGCCCTCCAAGAAGTAACAGAAAGGGAAGCTGTTGTTTACAAAAAGGTGGGCCCAAATTCGAAATGCTGTAGAATTGCTAACATGATTTCAAGCATCCACCAGAGAACAAATAATTGATAAAGATGTGAAGCGATTATCAAGGCTTATGCGAAGGATATAAAGACCCAGAACATAGCAGAAGTAATAGTACAGCAGTTATTGAGTATTTAGTCTAAAAGAACCAAAATCATCTGGATCCATTCTTGATTTGTTTTGCATCAGCAGAAACTTAGATATCTTTTAAAAATCTTTTCACACTTGTGACAGCAAGTTTATTGCAAACGGGTACTAGATTTTTGCCTTTCAACAACTTCTTTCACAGTATTCGTCGTCTCGCAGTTGAACCCAGGGTACTACTATGACATGGTCCCTTGAAAATAATCAGGTCCCTTGAGAATAAAGATACATAGAGCTCAAATCCTTTAATAATTGTGATTTCGTCATTCAGAAAGATGTCTCAGGATATTTTCAAACACATTTTATGTTTTGTTACTTCTTTAAAATCCCCCCTCGCCATTTAAGGAGGAAAATTCAAAGAAAAAGGCCAAAATTGAGTTCTGATGACAAATAAGGTAACCCAATTATGTTTGTGAAACTGTAAAACAAACAGAAGTGAGCAAAATTCATGATATAAACGTTGAATTAATTACAATTTTCAATCTGAAAAATTCTGACAGAACATACTGTGCAAGATTTTTCAAATGAATAATTTATACACAAATTGGTTTTCAAAATTATAACATGCGAAATGAAACATGCGGGACCTGTCTATCATAGTTGCTTTTTCGAGGGACTCTATCATAGTAGTACCGAACCCAGTAGATCATTCCCAGCTGATCAGCCCTGATGATCACTGATGATGTGAACATGTTGATTTCAAATATCCCTCCAATCGAAATCTAATTTAATCATGTTCCTTGATTTGCTAATTATGATTTTGCATTTTGTCCCCATTTTTCCATTTAAAGGGGTTTGTCGGCTTATCTTTTATTGGGTTAGTTGCCTATAGTTTGCAAGGTAAAATCCATTTCCCTGATAATAGAGTATCATTCTTAAATAGGTTTCCGTTCAATATTTTTACTGTTTTTTATGCTTCTATGACATCAATTATTACGAATTAACGAGCGCCTTTAATTTTGTCAGCTTAGTTACCGGTTTGAATTTTATCTACGCTAGTTTTTCAGTGGAACTGCTCTTGACGTAATTTTAAAAAATTAAATTAGAAGGAGGCAAATTCTGATATGAATTTTTTGAGAGATCTATTTTCGATTTTTTTTTCAATTCGCCTCTGTCCACTTCAAAATAAAAGAAATATATATTTGCACTCAATCTGCCAAAAATCAGCATTTTTAACAATGAAAACTAGTTATTTGAAAGGAATTTTGATGTTCGGACCGAGCAATTATTTTTCAGTTTATTTTGAAATAAAAGTTGTCCATTACAATCTCTTCGAGGAGATTGGAACGGTTTTGTTAGAGCAAACAAATCAAGTTTTGATCCAGCTAATTTTGTGTCATTTTGTTTACACAAGCAAAGCTTATGTGATAGTTTGAGCTCTCTTTTTTCCAGCCTTTGTCGCAAATATTGTTGCGTCGCAAATATTGTTGCGACAAAACGTGTTCATTTTGAAAGTGTTCATTTCGATCTATAACCAGCTCTTAAGTACAGCCAATGTTAAGGATATTAACACAGACTATTATATTAAAAAGTAGCATTTAGCTTCGAGGTATCATGGATCTGTAGCGTAGAGGTAGGGAAGGAAACCTGCAACAAAATTAGAGGGTTTGAACCTGGGCAGGGTCGGATGTTTTTAATGAACTTCTTCGTATACTAGTTAAAGTGCGTCCGCTCTATAAATTGAGGCATGTTAGTTGGTAAATTTATTTTTTTCTTGAAATTGACTGGTACTGCTAATGCGTCATAATTGGCTTGCGTCACTTATCAGTTATGTAGAATCATAATTGGCCTGCGTCACTTGAAGTTTTGTAGACTCAAAGTTTTACTGATTCAGTTTTTCTCAGTAGCGTTGTTGGTCGTGTTTTTCTTGTGTATGCGAAGTGCAACTTCGTCTCTGTGTTAAAGCTTATTAAATGGTCAGAAGGTCTATTTCTCTATATTGGATATGAGTCCTAAATTTTTACAATAATTTGCACTTTCAAATTTCAGCTGGAATGAAAAGAAATCTCGAGGGGAAAATTGGTCTCGCAAAGCAACCCACATCGCTCAAAATGCAATCAATTTTCTAGTCCGCCAAAACTTATGTACAAAAAAAACATAAAAAGCTTTAAAAATGAGAGTCCGTTAATTTATTTCGGGGGGTTTTGGAGGATTCGAATATGTTTTATTAACATGCTTTTTGTTGTTCCGACCATTGAAAATGGGGAGTAAATTTGTGTTCGGGCGTGTTCTAGTTTTTTTGTTTTCCACGCATTATGAGTTATCACAAATAATCATCAAAATTGGTCGAGTGGTGTAGCATATTACAGCCCCTTCAGTCGTCATTCGAATAAACTGTTAAAAAAATTTCAAAAAAATTGTGTCGAGAAAAACCCAATGTCGAGAAAAACTTTGTAGTTTCAGAAATTTACTCTAGTTTGGGCAAGTAACGCGAGTAACTTTCATGATATGAAAGTCGACTATTATTTAGGCTATAAAAACTGCATGTTTGTAAAACGAAAACTAATTTTGGAAGCTTAATTTGCGCTTATTTGGCAATAAAAAGTTTTCTAGCTAAAATTTTAAAAAATTATAGTGGAAGAATTTTTTTAAAGAAATATCGATTTTGCCTAGTTCAAAAATTTCTACACGTATAGTTCTCCATCGTACAACACACAAAACACGATACTAAAGTAAAGAAAATTTTTTTTTGCATTTTTACAATGTCAGCAGTCGGCTATTCTTGTTATGTCTGAAAAAGAAAGAAAACTGTATAAAAAGCATTGGCATAAATACGGCCAGTTTCACTTTAAGTGCATTTCAAATTTGTATAAAAAGAAGCTGTTAAAAGGTGTCCAATATCGGCCTGAATAATTATGGGCCTTATTGGACTGAAAATTAGCGCTTGATTTGTAGCTTCAAAATGGGATTTAATATTAGAAGATTCTTTAAATTAGAAGTGCCTTAAGCATGGTTGGGAATGTTTTAAAACATGTTTTAAAACAAGGCAAAAAACATGTTTTAAAACAGAAACTAAAAAACAGTATTTTTTATTTTAAATTTTTTATCGTAAAAAGCTAGCATAGGCAGGCAGTCGAACCCCTGCGCCATCCCTTCCTATCCCAACGAATTTCCACAATAAAATAGAGTTGTTTTAACTAATTAACTACTTACTTCTGTTACAAGACTGAACTGTGACTCGAGAAGAACCGTACAATGAAAGTTGTTTTCAAGATTTCAAAAGTGTAAAACTATTATTATGGTGGAAAATGGGAAAGAGACTAGGTTTCGAAACAGCGTTGGTTGATGTTGCACTGGCTCTCGTTTCTGGCGTTCTTAACTCAGCTGGATTGGAAAGATATTTCTCAACGACAGGAATGACGTATGGAAAGTTAAGAAACCAAATGGAGGCTGAAAATGTGGCAAACTTGCCATTCTCTACCGCGAACTGAACGAACTGTAAAAAGAAAAAACATGTTTTTTATTTTAAAAAAAACGCTGTTTAATTGATTTTGTCAATAAAAAACGTTTTTTTCCCCAACCCTGGCCTTAAGGCGATTTATTGTGTTCTATTAAACAAAATTTGATTTTCCAACTTTCTCTTGGATTGGATTTGCTTGAAATAAATCATAAAAATATTCTTGAAAAAAAATCAGTTTGTGAATTTTTTGGATAATTTTTAAAAATAGCAACTCTTCAAGCGGTAAATCATTAGAAAATTTTAAGCGTTAAAGGCATAATTACCCTTGCGATAAGCGAGGGTGTTGCAAAAGAGTACTGGACAAATTAAAAACCAATCAACCACCTAGCTCAAATGACGTAGAGACAACAAATATGCTTGAAATGACAAAGGTTGTTATTGCGTTATCGATGGGTAACAAAGACTTAATCTTGTAAACAGCTTGTCCAACAAAATCACTGAATCATTTTCTCTAATCTGCTTTTCAGCCAATGAACAGACATATTTTGAGCGTGTGGAATTTCAAATACACGTGCTGTTCAATAGTTGGCTTTTTGGCTTTGCTTAGGTTCGGTTCAGTTTAGTTTCTTTTTTTATCGTTTTCTTTTTTTATTCGGCTTTGTTTTTTTTGTTTATTTATACTCAATCGGCCTTGTTACATCATAGAGCATTGCATCATTGGATGAGCGAATAAAGTTTCCTATACGTGAGAGTCTTTTGATGGGGTAATATAATATTTTTTTGAAAGTTTTTAGGGTTCAGATCTGTAAAGAAATTTTCCCCGCTTTGCTAAATTTGAGTCTGAATAGCAAACAATTCAGACCATTTTTTCTCGAATCGAAAACTTTTTTAAATTTATTTATTTTTTTTATTCAAAAAGGTTTTATTGAAAGGTCTTTAACATGATATCTCTCGCAATTTTTTGCGAGTTCTCTTTGAAGTAGACAAAATCAGCTAAAGTTCTGTACCTACGCCATAGTTCCCTCCCAATCTTCGATAGTAGTTCGAACCCACTTCGATAACGGTTGGAGGGGTCCCAGTGTCATCCGCCTCCTCAAGGTGGACATTGAAATGGAGAGGACATCTCTCCCTCTCTCCCCGCCCCCCTCCCCTCACGGTTGGTCCTGCATTGAGTAGGATCGGGGGGTTAAAATATGTAACAAAAAGGGGTAATTTGAACAATAACTGCTGTTTTTTTCAGGGAAATTTTATCAGCTGTCACGGATGTCTGGGAATCCTACCTGTTAGTGCTTTTGTCAATGGCGAACAGAAGATAGTCGAGCTGCTTTTGCTCATAAGTCATTGCGAGTCAGTGGGCAAGCTGAAAGATGCGGAGATATTTCGAATCTCAGATCTGGACGCTAGAGTTCTAAACGTGCCTGGAACTTCAAGATACGATCAAATTCCAGGATTAAGACAGACAGTTTTAACAACTAAAGGATTTTTCACAGGCGGAAAGTCCTACTTTTGCGTTAAAAGAGCTGGATCTGCTAGTGAAATGTGTATACATCTTTCCCAGCAGCAACAGTTCAAGTACCAGCACTCAAATGACCAGAATGCAGCTTCTCACGCTTTGAAATTTGTCTGGAATCGTGGCATGTTTAACAGGTTCAATCAATTTGAAGTTAGTGATAAATGGACATTCAAAGTCATTTGCGGCGGCGTATCGATGAAAAGTGTTAACATACAGGGCGAGTATGCTCAGCTGTGTGTGGTGTATAGACAAAGCTGCGAGAGGGCGGGAACTCGATTTTTGACTCGAGGAGTCGATGAAAATGGACATGTTGCAAACTTCGTTGAGTCCGAAATGATTATTAGTTGCAATGACAAATTGACATCATATGTGATGACAAGAGGATCCATTCCGTTGTTTTGGGATCAGCCTGGAATCCAAGTTGGAGCTCACAAAACGCGATTTACAAGAGAATACGCATTTAGTTCTGCGGCATTCCTGAAGCACATGTACTTTATGAAGAAACAGTACGAAAGATTCGCAATTGTAGATCTACTAGGTGTAAACAGGGGCTCGGAAGATACGTTGTCTAAGGCGTTTGCAAGTTATTTGCAGCGATTCCCTCTGACTAAAGCAGTTCCATTTGTCCATTTTGACTTCCACGCTGAATGTCCAGCGTCAGACCAGGAACGTCGAAGAGCAGGATTGCAGAAACTGCATAACTTGCTGCAGAATACAGTGTTAGGCGGCGTTGGTGGCTTCGGCTTTTTCTACTGTGACGACAATGGCGCCCAAAACTCGGTTCGGAATCAGCTTGGAGTGTATAGAGTAAACTGCCTCGATTGTCTGGACCGAACTAATATGGTTCAGGGATTCATCGCTGAGCGTGTTTTACCAGCAATGCTTTCGGCGGTGTTTGGAAATCAAGTTCAGCTCGCTAAGGAAAAGATTTCTTTGCTTTTACCAGACATGATTAAACTATGCGGAGACGAAGTTAGTAAAATGTATGCTGGAACTGGCGCATTAAACGCGGACGATAGAACGGGGAAACTTTTCGATGCAGGTAAAAGTGCTGCTAGAACATTTCAGAACAATTTCTTCGACGAAGCCAAGCAACAGTCTTTTGATTTGGTTCGAAACACGCTATTCTCAGATCATCCGGTGTATCAGAAAGCAAGGATGCTTTGCAGTGATACAGACATAAATGTGCCCTTCAAACTGAGAGAACTGATATGCGATAACCAAATGACGTTTACAGAGTTAGAAAATATTAGAGTGTGCATTGGAACATGGAATGTGAACGGGGGAAAACAGTTTCAAAAAGATGAAACGAAGGATGAAACCGATATTTCTCTGTGGCTTTTCAACGCGCCTTCAGAATCTCTTAAGCAGTTCCCTCCTGTTAATGGTTATGTCGCAGAAGGCGCCGATTTCAACCAAAATCCAGATATCTATGCAATTGGGTTCCAAGAAATTGTAGACCTAGATTTGAAAAATATGATCTCAACAAGTCATATAACAGCAGATGAATGGCATGATAAACTATCCCAATTGTTTTGTCCAAAAGGATATTCTAGTGTTCTTAAAGGTTGTCAATTAGTAGGTGTTTGTTTGTTTGTTTTTGTGAAAAACAAACACGTGCCCTATATAAAGGCGATCGCCAGTCAGACTTTGAAAACTGGAATGAAAGGAGCGGCTGGCAATAAAGGTGGAGTTGCGATTCGGTTCCAGCTGCACGCTACTTCAATGTGTTTCGTGTGTTCTCACTTCGCAGCTGGACAGTCAAATTTCGCAGAAAGAAACGCAGATTTTCACTCACTTGCGTCCAGATTTAAGTTTCCCCCCATCAACCAGTCTTTGAATGACCATGACTATGTGTTTTGGTGTGGAGATTTCAACTACAGAATAGACATGGAAAATGCGCTGACTAGAAATTACATTGAAATGTGCCAGTGGCCGAAACTGTTGGAAAACGACCAGTTGACATTGCAAAGAAGTGAAGAAAATGTGTTTGATGGTTACACGGAAGGCCCAGTGCTGTTCCCCCCAACGTATAAATATGATCTCCTGACTGACGAGTATGATTCGAGCGAGAAGTGTAGAACGCCTGCATGGACTGACAGGGTTTTGTGGAAGAGGAGACATGCGTTCTTCTACTTACCACAGGAGTACTGGCCCAAAGATTTACAATGGCCTGCAGGTTAGCTAATTGAGCATTAAGTAGTTGAGATCTGTAGCGTATTTAGGAGGGGGACAACCCCCCCCCCCCATTCCCTCCTCAGGGTTTAGACCCCCTGTTACCCAAAGGGTCCTTCTTTTGTACTATTTTGAGATATCCATTTTGGCTAATGGACACTAAAACTTTTCTTAAGGGGCCTTTGGCGCCAATATTTAATAATTTTGAGGGGAAAGCGCGCCGAAAAAATGCGATTTTTTGATCGAATTTCTCCAAAAAGTGCCTTTTTTAATCAAAATTTTGGTTCTAATTTAGTGCTCTGAAAGCGAGCTCGGAAAATCAATTTAGTCAACCTAAGAAAAGGTCGACAAAGTTTTTTCATTTTTTTTTGAAAAGTTGGCTTGCTTCTTAAAAACTAAGAGCAATAAAGTTTTCACAAAAAACACGAGTTTTTGAATTCTTTGCCATTTAAGTCAGCTGATCAATTTTACGTAGGCGCGTTTTGCTTTTTTGAGAAGCAGTTTTTCAAAATCTTGTGAAAATATTGCTTCCTAAATGATTTTTCGAAAACAATTTGCAAACAGGAGTGAATAGTGGGAAAATATCAGAAAATGCAAAACTTTATAACCAAAAATCTGGCATCAGTTTTTTCGGTTTTGAACTTTTAAGAGTCGAAGAACGTAGTTCAGATTCTTATATAGGTCGCGTTGATATTTTTCTTTTTTTTAGGAGAATTCTTTAACATTTTTCAGGCTCAAATTTACTTTTTCGGGGTTTGATTTTTGATTTTTTTTACATTTCTGTTCATTTTCTTTGTTAAAAGGAAGGCAAACTCTTTTTTTGAACAGCAAAAGTGTAAAGGTCACGAAAAACGCAATCGACTTCTGGTTTCGAAAGTGGAATTTAATTTTCAGATTTCCCAGATCAAAGTTTTTTTTTAATTCTCGATCAAAGTTTTACTTATTGATCCAGTTTTCTCAAATTGGGTTAGTTTTTATCAAAAAAGCGCAATTTCTAAATTGATCTAGAAATTCAAAGAGCCCTAAGGGTATCTATTTTATTATGTGAAATTTGAAAGTTGGAATTTAAAAAAAAACAATTCAGCTATTTCTTCTGTTTACTTGCTTCTATTGACTCTTTTCCAACTGTCTGTTGGCTTTGCTTACTTTAGCGAGTGTTGTGTATTAGTACGAACCTTATTTTTCAAATTAACTCGCAAACGAAAGTGTTCATTAAAATGTTTGTAGCATTGGAAATTTCATAGCATCTGTTATCTGCTTCATTTGTGGCTAGTGTTTGTGATTTGTTAAGCGTCCGTGGCTGCGTGGTTAGTGCGTGAGACTCATAATCTTAAGGTCGCAGATCGAATCCGAGATGTAGACGAATTTTTACTAATTCGAGGCTTATTTCTAATTTCTTATTGCACTTTATAAAGCTGCTTTTTTGTCGTGTTCTCGCTATTATAAAGCTGCTTCGCCTCTGTGTTTTTTTTAGACTCTAGGTTTTTCTAATTGCGCTGAAAGAACAGGACTTTTTTGTGTTCGATATCGAAAACATTAAACTGAACAGTTAGAGGTTATTGCCCAATTAATTGAGCCTAAGTTTTTCACCTTGGAATTTAAAGCTTACCATGGCTTTAATTTTTTTTCAGTGCCGCTGTATAAACATTGATTGAAAACTGTCCATTATAAACTGTTCTCAAAATTCAAAGTGCGTTGAGGGCATATAATTTTTTCCTCTGAAATTCGAAAGTTTGCTTGCTGTCATTGAATCTTTTCCAGTTGTCTGTTGGCTATGTTTTTTATGTTCATATTTTGACAGGAGACCTCATCTACTATGGTCGGGCGGAGGTGAAGAGTTCAGACCACAGACCTGTGGTGGCCTACGTGGACATACAGGTTCAGAGAGTGGACCATGAGAGGAGGAGTCAGGTGATTTCCAACCTCATCCTCGATATAGGACCCCCCAACGGGGCTGTGCATGTCAAACTGGTGGACTTGGCTGCACAGAACTGGGTTAGTTACTTAGCTTATAATTATGAAAGAAATTGTTCTTATTCTTCATTGCATTGAGCTTCCGATTAATTGATTTTCGTGTTTATAGGCAGTTTATCCGCTGACTGTTAAAGTTTAACCTGTGGTAGTTTTTGATTAGAGTCTTTTTTTGTTCGACCAAGCCTGAAGATTTTCTGAATGAGGCTGGTGAGACAAAATACATTAGTTCTGAAAGTGTTGAAGAGGTAGCATGCCTCGAAAAAAAAAACAGTCGAGCAAACTGTCCTCAAAATTTGTGCTGCTCAGAACGATGGTGCAAAGAATTTGAGGAGTCCCTAATTGTCGGGACCAACAACAACAACAACAACAACAGAAAGACTTAAATTCCTTCCATGAAGGTATAAAGAAATGTACTAACAAAATCAAGACGTACAAGTAGAACAATTACAGTTAATAAACCAAGAGCACGAGTTTTGCATTGAGTATGCATTCGCTGTGATATTGAATAGAAATGTTTTAATGTTTCTCCTGAAGGTAGCGGGACTATCATAAACGTCGATTCCAAGACCAGGATGGGCGAGAAAATGATTCGCAAGTTTCACCACACGATTAAAGAAGGACTCCCCAGTTCGTCGTTTCCTATTGCGTCGGATCTCAAACATAGCTGTATCGGAGGATCGGTGACCGGTCATTTCCGGTGCATAAGAGACAAAGTGGAACAAATCAAAATCTAATTTGTCGTTGAGAAGTTTGTTGAAAAGGGTGAGATCATTGAGTTGGTGGATGAGAGAAATAGGCAACATATTTGTCACACGGAGTAGAATGTTGTAAGGAGCTGTGTAGTTGCGTGTACTCCATCTGAGCGCTCTACATTGGAGCGCTTCTAGCTTGCGGATACTGGTAGGTCTGGGAACCAGGTATGAGAAGCATAAAGAATAACTGAGAGATCACATGATTTATAAAGTTGGAGTTTGGTAGTGGTGGGGCAGGTAATTGGGATGTTTTTTTTCAACACGAACAAACTCCTGTTGGCTGAAGCTAACTTTTTTTCAATATGCGGTCTAACCTTAGAAAACGTTCTGAAGATTGTGAAGTGCGCGGATGCTGTCATCACTGATGTATACCGTAGAGGCTCATTTATCAAAAACGCAAGAAAGCCTCGTCCTCTCATCGTCCAATTTCACAATGCAATAACCGCCAAACGGGTCAAGGCTTCCTCTGGCCTGCTCAAGGACTCTTCCTTCGAGGCGACTGCACCAAAGAAGAAAGAAAAAAAGAGGAAGCACTGCTTAAAACACGCTACCTTCTCGCTCAAAAGGGCATCAGGAAAGAAGACATGAAAATCAAAAATCTTACTCTCTACTATAAAGACAAACAGCTTGACACACTAGCCGATGTTGACACTCTCCATTCCACAATCTCTCAATTGTGACTGACAACTCCGAGGAACAATATTTCCCTGATGATGATGAATGCCCAAAGCCTTCTTAGTCTTCAGAGAAGATTAGCATATCTGAATTGTTTCACTTCTTACAACCCTGATCTCCTCTTACTATCAGAAACATGGCTAGATAGTAACCACCCTGATATGAGTGTCTTTCCTGCGAGCAACTATAATATTATCAGTCGGTCAGATCGAACAAATGGGGCGCACGGAGGCGTCCTCATTGCTGCCAATAATTCTGTATTTAATAGTGTTGACTTCACCAGCATTGGAGTTGACAAAGACTTTGCCTGTGCCTGTATCATCACATTCCACTCTACAATGTTGCTGATTATCACGGTTTATAATCCGCCAAGAAGCAGCAACTATGCTATTTCGCCGCAGACTGAGTAGCTGTTTATCTGAATATTTTACCCTGTTTACAGAATCGTTCAATTCCTCAAATAGTCTTCACTATGAAACTTTAATACTCGGTGACTTCAATTTCCCTGATATTGACTGGCCGACCTATCAATCAACCAAAGCTGTTGACCTTCCTTTCCTTAACTGGTGCCAGGAGAATAATCTCCAACAAGTTCTATCCTTCCTGACCCACAAACAAGGCAATCTTCTGGATATTATACTAGTAACCAACACTGATATAATAGAACACATCGAAAACCCGAAATGGAGCAACCTATCAGATCATGCTGGTGTACTGTTTCGACTCTCGAAAAGCCACTACAATACAGCCGTCATCTCCAACCAACAGCTAGCCTGGAGCTCCTTCAATCCTGAACGTTTCGCCCTATCCCTCCCACCCATTACTCGTGTGGCACAGGCCATTGACTGTATGTCTCTGAATGATTTCAGTGCAGAATGGACTAGTATGGTCCACAATGCACTTTCCTCTACGGTCCCTCGTAAACGCAAGAAACGCGCAAGAGGAAGAAGCACAAATTGAACACAATCTTCAATGAAGAGTTCCTACACGCTACAAGAAACAATTTTCTCGAGTCGGCAGAGCTCGATAAAGTCGTTCTGCTAAAAGACATCTGCTGGATGTCTACATCAGAAGCTTTTAAGTTTCTGAAACGATTCTCAGGGAAAGCCCCCCTGCCATCTAAACTCACCTGGGAAACTAAATTCGCAACCGATGACCAGAACAAAGCCGATCTTTTCAATGGATTTTTCGCTTCCGTGTTTAATCCAATTACAACAGATAATCCCGAACCACCTGGTGACCAACAACCCAGTATATTTCTGAATGATTTAAACTTCGATGTAAAAAAAGTTGAAACACTCTTGTCCAAATGCCCTGATTCACATTCTCAGTCTTCCGATGGCCTTACGTCCTGCCTGTATCACAACGCCTCAGCAGTATTAGCCCCTTTTGCTTACATTCTTTTCTCCTTTGTTCTATCCTCTTGTGTGTGGCCCACTACATGGAAATGCAGTTACATAACACCTATCCTCAAAGATGGCTCTCGGTCTCTTATTTCCAATTATTGCCCCATCAGCATTCTACCTCGGCTCTCTCTCATTCTGGAGCGACTAATTTTCAACTTTCTTTATCCTAGAATAAAGTCGCAGTTGGCCAAGCAACAACACGGCTTCCGAAAACATCGATCCACGGTTACTCAACTACTAGCCTATCTTGATAATATCTACAATCAACTTGAGAACAATAAGAAGCCCTCCGCGGTATACTTCGATTTTCAAAAAGCATTCGACAAAGTGCCTCATGTCGTTTTATTGCACAAACTAAAAAAAATGGGCCTCGACCCAAGTTTCATTGAACTCATCCGGAGTTACCTCGCTGACAGAACTCAATGTGTGAACATTAACGGGGTTCTCTCTTACATTGCTTCGGTTACTAATGGTGTTCCTCAAAAGAGCGTCACAGGTCCGTTGTTATTCATTATATTCATTAATGACCTCCCAGACTACTGTAAATACTCCGACTGTTTTCTGTTTGCCGATGATAGCAAAATGATTTCGACAGAATCACCCATAGCAAAGAATCTACAACATGATATTGATAATTTCCTCGCTTGGTCTATCGAGAACTCAATGATTTTTCACCCAGACAAGTGTAAAACGATGTTATTCGGAAAAACTGACGACACATCAACTCACAATTGGAAATCATCAGATATCGACCGTCTCTTGCATCAAAGACATTGGTGTATGGGTGGCCGATGAACCAGCGTATTATAAAACGACTTCTTCAAAGACCTCAAAATCTTAGAATTTCAATACTTCTAATTTGGGGTTAGAGGGGGTTGTGAATTTAGGGCAGAATTTTTGATTGTTTATTTGTTTTTAAGGAAAAAGTTTTAAGTTTCTTCACGCCAATTTTGATCTTATGAGGTTTGACTTTAGCTCTTTTTAAATGCAATTCAAATACATTTGCTAAAAGAAAGGCTAATTACGCTCTGATTTTTTCCTGATTAGTTGCGTTCATTGACGCTTTCAAAGATCTTTTTTTTGGCTGCATTAAGAATTGATCCGGTTGCAGGACCCCGACCCCCTTGAAACTTTTGAAAAACGCTCTTTTTTTGTTCAAAAAATGTCTACTCAGTGATTCTGACACCCTCAACTTAAGCACTGCAGAGTAAATAGATTATGCGAGTTGAGTTCGCAAATTGTATATTGGCATGTAGTAGTTGTAAAGAAAGTACTAAATTTCAGATAAGGTCTGATACGTTAATCATTTTGAATCGTAGTTACAAGAGATTGAGGATATTGGGGGCGGTGAAAGAGACGAATGTGAAATTAGGTGCATATGAGTAGTGAGTGGAGAGTACACTTGGAGCACTACTTGGCCGAGTACACTGAGGGGGGAGTGGTTGTGGGCAGCAGACAGGTGGGGGCAGACATGGCCAGAATCCTGTTCAGAGACCCTTCTCACGCAGTCAAAGCAGTCGCCCTCTCAGGACACAGAATCACCACGTCTATCGAAATGCGGGTCAGTCTTATTCTTAGAATTGAGCTTATTATGTTAAGGTTGTGTTTTTATGTAACCTTTTCAGGAAGAAAATCTTGCCAAGAAAAAAAACGTTTGTAATTTTTCTAGCTTGTCTGAGTTTCGATTTATTTGGAGTACGCTTTAATTTTTTTGTTCAATGGACCTCAAATTCCATTCTTTGAAACAAAGCTAAATATGGCTTAGAACATGGACGTTGGCTGATATATTTTCAAAAATTTACTGAATTTAACTATTGAACGAGGTTACTCAAATTAGGTTGGTTATTTTAGGCGCCGATAAACGCATTCAAGCTCAATTTTACTTTTTCGCTGTTTGACTTTTGATTTCTTTAAGTTCAATTCGTTTCTTTTACAAAAGCTAAAAGTAAAGGTCGCAAAAAAGTTTATTGATTTCTAGTTTCGAAAGTGGATTTTTATTTTTCAGATTTCCCAGAGGAAAAACTTGAGTCAAATTTTATTAATAAAAGTGTCAATCACGAATTGTTATTCAAATCCGCAAAGCTTCAAGGCCATAACTTTGAAATTCGAAATTTGATGTTTTTCAAAAAAAAGTCAGTTTTCTGTTTCCTTGCGTTCATTGACTCTTTTCCAACTGTCTTTTGGCTATGTTCCAAAATTTTCAATCCAAAGTTGTGAATTTTGCTTTAAGATGACGAATTATTTGATCTTGTTTAATGTTAATTTACATGGGTTTGCGTGAATAAGAAACCCAAGAGCAACTTTTCTCATAATATTTGGTTTACAGAACGAAAAAAAATAGAAAAGACTTTACGTTTTAAATTAATAAAATGTTTAATGTCATTTATGATATGTGTTAACGTCATATGTGTTTGATGTCATTAATGATAGACAAAATTAATTATCACTTACGTAGGTTTTGGCTTTTATTTTTGTTTTTCCGGCTTTTAAAAAACTTCAGTTTTTTTCACGCTGGATTGTGATTTTCCGCGTTCTGATTTTTTATTTCTTTTCAAGTTCAAATACAATTCGTTTGTTTAAAGGAAGGCAAATTAACGTTCTCAAGTAACAAAAGGGCAAATTGACTCTTAGCTTCGAAAATAGATTTTAATTTTTTAGGCTTTCCAGCGGTACAAAAAATCTATGGACCCAGTTTTCTCTAATTGGTTTGTTTCATTACACTTGCGACCAGCTTAGTGTGTTATTCCAAACTTTTTTTTAAACCTAACTCGTAAATAAAAGTGTTCATTAAAAGTTCACTTCATTGGAAATTTCACTGTAGCATTGGAAAGAAATTGCTTAGTATCTGTTCTCTGCTTTTGTTGTGGCTAGTGTTTAGCGTATATTACGCTTCCGTGGCTGAGTGGTTAATGTGTAAGAATCATAATCTCTAAGTCACATGTTCGAATCTCAGAAATAACCGAAGTTTTGCAAATTCGAGGTTTGCTTCTAATTTTTATTATCGAAGTTTATAGAGCTGCATTTGTGATTTTCATGCAAGTGTTTGCGAAGCGAAGCTTCGCCTCTGTGTTAAAAGTTTTATAAATTTCTTGAATATTGAAGAGCTTCATCGTGATATGTAATTCAAAATTCGGAGTTTTTTTCCAACTGCCTTTTAATCTGAGAGTGTATTAGCGTGCATATTCATCAGTTTCAAAAGCATAAAAGTACCAAATTCTAAATTAGAAAATATGCCGTGTTCGTCTTATTTAGTTTCTTCATTTTGTTCAATCTTAAAGATCGAAAGTTTGCCTGGATCAAGACTTGAGCGCTCAGGTTGATGGACGGATAACATTTGGTACAATTTTGAGTGATTTTTTCATTTTGGTAGTCATGAATGTTGATAGAATGATACAATTAATTGAAGTCGTCTAATTAAGATATCCGCCCCGTTCTTCTTTATTTTGATCTATTAGCTAAAAAACCTCTTTCAACTTCAGGTCGAGTTTGCTACTCGAGATTTCGTCTCCGCCTACTCATCCGAGTTAGACAGGCTCGAAACTGCGACCCAGGTAGATGCAGAAATTGCGGACCAGGTTGCCCAAATATTACCCAAAGAACAGCCAGTTCCAATTGCAACACCTCTAATTTCATTCACACCTTTTCCCTCTCAACAAGCCACTGCTGTTTCTGATGCATCGGCGATGCAGACTTCGAATAGTGTAGTGAAACAAGCTCCGCCGAAAAGACCACCTCCCCCTAAAAAGATACCCACAAGCCATTCGACGGGGAATCTGAACTCGAATGCTGCTAATTACCCAGGTATGCCTGGGTCTTTTGTCGAACAGGCACCACTACTGGGGACTCCATCAAATGCTATAGGCGAGAAGTCTCAGTCGTTTTTAAATGTAGCCGAGCGAAAAATCTCAACAGGAAGCGAGGTCGCTTCGAGTCAATATACCTCATCACAAGGTCCTGACGTAAACTTCGACGTAACCTTCGACGTAAACAGTAATTGCAGTTCGACAGTTGGAAGCTCCGAGAACGTAAACGTGAATAACTTTCCTGCACCTCCCTCGAATTGTAACAGTTACATGGACTTGTCAGATCCGCCAGCAGGACTACAAAGGAACCCTTCTTTGAACCAGAACATTTCTCATTATAGCCAAGTTGTAGGAGATATAAGTCAGACGTCCATAAAATCAAACAATAACTCAAACTGTTTCGAAAAGAATTTATTTAGCGATGCTTATTGTAGTGACGCAATGATTAACAGTGGATCAGTTGGCTCTAACTGTGATAATGTTAATCTAGTTAACGGTACTAGTGCAAAAACGAAACCCCAGAATATTGGTAAGGTGCCACCCCCATTGCCGCCAAAATCGGATAAGAACAAAAAACCTATACCCTTCATGGTGCAAAAATAACAGTAGTGAACTTAGAAGTTGCAACTTTCACTCAAATTCTTTCCTGCATTTTATATCGTAAATATCAAAATTATGAATTGATAGTTTTAAAGATTTTTCTTTATGAAAACCTACATTACTGTCTTGTAAACGGCCTAAGTATTATATTGAAGTGTAATCGATTTAGATGTATGGACGTTGGGATTTATCAAAGTATCCCATTAAACTTACTTAAAATTGGTGCTTCCAAAAATTTTCAGTTTCCAAGTTTCACCTTAGAATTCAGTTTTTTAGACTTCCCTGCAAGATGCTGTGAATGATATATTAATTTAGAAAATGCTTACATATGTTTGAAAATACGTTTTGAAACAAAATCTCCTGAGAAGTTTTGTTAAATAGAGCTCAACTGTCAATTTATCCTAACATATTAGATATGTTTAGTATATCAGTAATTTATTCCTAAACTGTATTTCACTATAGTTAGTGTGCAATTCCAATTATCTATCATTGTCAGGGAGCGGAAAAAATTAAATTTTTTGTCGCCAACAAAAAAGAAAGAAAAGTGGGTACAAAAACCTTCAATTTTTTTAACGCATAAATCAACCAACACTGGAACGTTTTCCATCTGTGTTTTCTAGAAGTTACGCAGTTTTTGCTTCAAAATACAAAACTATTTCAATCTGTTAGGATTTTATCCGCGCATGAACGAATTTGGCTGAATCGCAAACTCCAGTTTATGGTTCTTTTTATAAAAGTTTGCTTTTTAGGGCAAACGAACACAAACTTAAATAATTTTGCTCACTTTTTTTTTACTTAATTACGAGCAAAAAAAACAATAGAGTATTAAATTTTTTCCGCTCCCTGATCATTATACAGAATGCAACTTCATATTTTTCAGAGCTGAGCTCTCGCTTCATATTAAGAGAATTTGCAATTTAAGATTGAAACCGAAATTTGTTTTACGGAAACAAGCAGCAGTAGTTATTGGCAAGCATGCAACAGCAATTCTCCAAAGGTCCCGGAACTGGTCATTCGAGATGAAAGATTTTTGTTTGCTGTTAATGAACGAAGTGAAATGGCATTTACTTAGATCGTGTGGTTTCTTAGGTTTTTATTTCTGGAAAAGATTTTGTTCGTACTGAACTCAAATTTGATTTTCCCCAGTTTGAAGCCATATTTTCCCCAGTTTGATTTTCCCCATATTTCTAGGTCGCGTGGATTTGTTTTTTTCCCAGTAATTTATCTTTAAGCTTGTGCTTCGGAAGCGTTAACAAATCGGAGTATGTGTTTGAATACACCTGGGACGGAAAAGGTCCTGGGTTTGAGTCTGATCTGAATCGCATTTAAAAAGTTGTCGGCTTATTATTTGTATGCTGATGTTTTGTCGGTTTAGTTGCCACGTCTAAGAATTGTTTTTTTTTGTCGCTGTAGACAATTTTCATTGTAGTTGCTTCTGGTTTTGATTTACTTCCAAAATTTGTAATTTTACTACCATTGTCTTCTTTTGTCCTCCTTTTTTGTTTAAAAACTTAATTCGGTCCAAATCATTTCGATTAATTTTCATTGGCTTAGTGATCTATATTTGGGTCGGTTCATTGGAAGCATAATCTTAATGCTCACCCCGGATCGTGCAAAATGCTAAAGTTCTTAGAATAGAATTTATAGTTCGAAGTTTGTATGAAAACAATTTTATTTTCGGTACTTGTTAAGTTTGTCCGCTCAGTTACCGCTCAATACTTGTTTTTGAATTTTCATGAGACGTGATCGATTGTTTCTGGACGTGTTTTCCGCAAATTTAACATCATTGCAGACATTCTTTTCCAGTTTTTTTAAGTTGTGGCTTCAAATTTCTTTGGACGTAGTGGCTCTCCTTTCTGCTAGCTTGCGATGGCACTCTTATGCGGTATCGCAAGTAGTTCGAAGATCCGCTCCCCCTCTGGAAAGCTTGTTCACAGATTGGCTTTCGCAGTTTGTCAATTCAAATTAATCAGCTAAACGGACGGAGGGTAATTACACTCCCAATAACTAGATAAGTGAGCGTAGTTATATATTACGAATACACTTTCGCTGACCAGGAAGATATATAGCATGAACTCAATCGGATTTATGGGTTCCTAGTGTTGCGCGGCGGAGAGATTGTGATAAAGCGTTGTCTGCCAATTAGAACTCATTATTTATTAATTCGGAGGAAATAAACAATAAAATCATCAGTTCAAAGTGCATTGATTGGTTGAGATTTTTTGCGCATGCGGCCTTTTAGCTAATTCGGTCTTAGTCTTTACATTTTTTCAAGCGACTATGGCGCAGATGCCAGGACGTGATACCCGTAATCGGCAGGTCAGCAGTTCAATTCCGCTACATTGCAACATGTTTCTTTTGACCTTTCTTTTATTTAACATTTTAGAGTTTGGTACGCGCTTTTTTGCGAAATGCAGCTGTGTCTATGTGCTTTGGTTTCCCCAGTGGACTATGAATATACTCATCGATCACTTTTTTAATTTGGTCTAGTTTTTAAAGGGTCAATGAACGTAGCGAATATACTTGATGATTTGTTTCTTATTTTGAATGTTTCAGGACAAAGTCTTAAAGGGTAAAAGTTATGAAAAAAGTGATCAACTTGTTGTTTTGCAGGTTGATTTATAATAGCAAGTATCTATTTAAAGAAGCAAGTTACTTGATAAAAAATCACAGAAAGTGGATATCCTTATGTTTTTGTCTTAAAAATATTTGCGGTGCTTGTGTCAATTTGCTTACCTCGTTAATTTGAGTTTGTTTGGTGTTAACACAGCCGCGCCAAATTAGGGTTAAAGAAGTTCAAAAAAATTAAAATTGTTTTTGAAAATTTTCAGCTGAAGTATTCATCTTTACACAAGCAATGCTTGTGTGATATTACGAACTCCCTTTTTTCCGACCTAAGTCCCAAATATTAGTGCTCTTTTTGAAAGTGCTCTTTTATTGCAGTATATGCATAAGATCAATAACCAGCGATTAAGTACAGTAAATGCTTAGGATATTAACACACACTATTGTATTACAAATACTTCAGCTTCAAGGTGTTATGGTTCTGTAGCGTAGAGGTAGGGAAGAAGACCAGCAGCAAAACAGGAGGGTTCGAACCTCAGCCGGGTCGCATGTTTTTAATGAACTTTTTCGTATACTAGTTAAAATGTGTCCTCTCTATAAATTGAGGCATGTTAGTTGGTAAACTTTTTTTCAAATTGACTGCTAATGCGTCATAATTGGCTGGCGTCACTTAGCAATTATGTAGACTCATAATTGGCGTGCGTCACTGAAGAAATTTTGTAGACTTAGTTTTACTCAGTTTTTCCCAGTAGCTTTGTCGGTCATATTTTTGCTTGTGTATGCGAAGTGCAGCTTGGCCTCTGTGTTTATTCTTATTTTTGATTTTTTAAATACTAGAAATGATTTTTGGTGTAGGTTTTTTGGGCTTTTTGCCTAGTTACTTGAAGTGGACAGCCTCATTTTTTCATTTTGGTTTCTGTTTGGCTAATAATTCTCGACAAAACAATTATTGCTAAATTTTTCAAGTTAGTTTAGTTTCATAATTTCGATCAGGTTAATCGCAGTTCCTTTACTTCTTAAATATAGCAACTGGCGATCTGTCTATTTTTCTTTCTCCGTTGCGTTGGTTGTATAACAAAAAATCGTAGTTGTAAAAAGAAGTTGAAAACGCACTAAAGTCTTGTAGTTCGCGAATGATGAAACCCGATTGCTCAAATTAGCTTTCCATGCAAAAAAGACAAAAACTATATGAAACTAAATTTCACTTGCTTAATTCGAGTGCTTTTTTTACAGGGTACCATCTTGAAATCGTTGACGCGCAAATTCAGGTTGTAGTGTTTTTTTTTATTAAAAATTAATTAAAAAAGCTGCAATTTTTCTGGACGCCTGCAATATGTACTTAATAACCATTAAATCAGAAAGCTCATAAAGGATAATCCAATATATGGGAAACATTAAATGAAATTTAGAATATAATAATTTTGTTTACCTCAAGTTATCCTGATAACTCTTTGAATTTTTAAAGGATGTGGTCCGTCTTGATATAAGCGATCCTTTCGGGAAAAATGAATTTAAATAGCGAGCTGTTGTTTACAAATTATACTTGGTATATATTAATGGCGAATACAACTTATTGGTCTGAACTATGCATGGAGTTTTAGTTGCAGTTACAGAGGTAATTGCTTCATCTTTCTGCCTTTCAAAAAAACTTATAGTTTCTGACAGAAAAAAATTTCAAAGTCCAAAATGTTTGATGATTTTTTTGCGCGCCTCAGTTTTTAGAGTATGAGGGGGTAATATTATTTGTCTTTTATAATTTTGCTATGCGGGTTTTGTTATAATTTATATCGGATTAAGGATCAATTGTTGATAATCTTCTGTCTGGTTCTCGGGGTTAAATAATACAATCGATCTATATCTATCTATCTATACTATATTTAAATGCGAGTGACAGCTATCTCCCATGTTTAAGCCTAATAATTTTGCATGTTTAACGAAAGAGTTTTTTCATGTTTCAGCTATATTATATATTGCAATGCTTAAGAAAATTTTTCAATTAGTTTTCCGCAAGGTCATTAATTTTCAGTAATTTTTTCTGTCTGTATACCTGCTTTCTTATTTAATCTGTCTACCCATCTCTTATCTTCCTAATCTTATGTCTGTCTACCCGTCTCCTAATTTGTTAACTTTCATCTATCTGTTATATATTTAAATGCGGGATTGACTATCTCGCCATGCTTAGGCTTTTTCAACGTATTGTTTTTGCATGTTTAAGAAAAGAATTTTTCACGTTTAGGCTATATCGTATATTGCTATGGTTAAGGTTTTTTTTCGATTTTCCAGTTTAAATTCAGTGTTTAATTCATCAAGTTTGAAATTAGCAACCTAATAGTGGGATGTTGTCAGATTTTTCCCAGGTTTTGCAATTTTGACCTCCATATATGAATAACCAAATCCTTTTAGTTTACGAAATAGGCAATTTTCGAGATTTTTCAAAAATTTCTAGAAAATTTAATTTTAAAAAATTTCTCAATTTTTGAAATTCTCACCCTGTAGTTAGGTGCTGCCAGGGTTCTCTCAGGGGTTGCGAATCTTGCCTCCAAATCTCATATCGCATCTCTGTGGTGAGGTTTTGTCAAGGTACTCTCAGGAGTTCAAATTTTGCCTCCAACTATGACTGCTCAAATCCTTGTAGTTCTCGAGAAAAAAACTTAGATGTGAAGTTTCTCAAGATTTGAATTTCCCAACATTGTAGTTGGGTACTATAAAAATTTTCTCAAAAGTTGCAAATTTTGCCTGCAAACGCGACTGCTCAATTGCTCTTAGTTTCCCATATGTGACGTTTCTTAGTTCATTTTAAATTTTTCGAAGAACTTATATGAAACTTCACAAAATTTTATGGTTCTTCAAAACTTGAATAAAAAACGTTGCAAAATTTTTAATTACGAACCCTGTAATTGAGTGCTGTCAGAGTACACTCGAAGAATGCAGATCTTATTTCCATCGTATGCGGTTTATTATGAATACCGGAGGTGTGTTACACGCTAGTTTTTTCTTTGAATATCGAA